GGTGTTGCCTTGCAGGCCCTGCCGCCGCCATCTGCCCCTCCGGGAAGTCCCGGCCGCCGCGGCCCGAGCTCCGAGCGCGGCCCGGGCCCGAGGAGGGGCTGCCGCTGCCTTTCGTTTGATCAAGTAGCTTCAGACCCCGCTCCAGGCTGCTGCGGCGTTTCCGGTGCTGTTTCTGGTGCGTTGGCTCTGCAGCAAAGCACGTGTGTTCGGTTCCCGCGCGGGATGCGCGGCCCTCGGGCAGAGCGCGGCCCCTGGTGCTGTGTCAGAACAAAACCGCTTAAAACATGAGCCTGCTTGGAAAAGATTTAAGTCATCTGGGGCCGGGACAGCTGAGTCTCGGTACATACTGGCAGTTGAGCATACTGGCAAAAATGTATCAGAGAGAAGGTTTTACAAACAGCCACTGGTGTGTGGTGCTGCCCCAGGACTGTGCGGTGAGGCCGTGGGGTCCAGGTGCTGGGTGGGAAGCAGAGCCTCGTCTGTGCAGGGTCCCTGGCTGCTCTGCTGTGCACTGCTCCTGAGTAATACTGGGCATGCTGGAAAAGAGAAGTGGGCAGCTATAAGTTTGAGGGCAGGAATAGAAAGGTGCCTCCCGGGGCAGGAAGGCAGGCTGGGTGGTTGGGCTCTGCAGTCTCCTTGAGGTGAGCACAGTCAGTTCCTGGGACTTCCCGGGTGTTCCTTACAGAGACTTACCTGGAGGACTAAGAAAGTGGAGCCAGTGACATTATACTGGCTCCACTGATACTATCCTCCTATATTAAATGGTGGAAGAACAAGGCCTGCCTGTGAGAGAAAGTCAGGACCTACGTCATCTCCCTACAAGGTTTTAATGGCAGTCAGAGGATGCAAGCTAAAAGTCTCTGTAGAAAATGGGGGGGGTGTTTAGTTTGAATCAAACACTCTAAACTGTTTCAGGGCTGTTGTATTGCCTGTTGTTGTATTGTCCTTTTGACATAGTCTCACCTGTGTGCTTTTGGTTGTAGGCCTGTGGTTCCCTTTGTTCCCAGCTCCAGGACTGGGTGAGGAGGAGGGACGATGGATGTGCTGATGGATTATGGTAACCATTTCAGGAACTGTAACTGTTTAGCTGTAGGTGGTTGGTGTGAACCTGGCTGGTAACCAGTGTAGCCTTGTGAAGGCTTCGTGTGATGCCCTCCAGTGGTAACAACGTGTACCGATATTTTGTCCAGGCATAGAAGGAAATTTGAAAAAGTGATCCTTTTTGCCCATTCCGGAGCAGTTTGAGGGTAACTACTTGTAAGGTCAAGGGCCTTTGGGCAGCCCTGGCAAAGTCCCCAGTTGGCTGCTGGGTGAGGTGTGATTGGGGGTATCCCATCCCTTGGCAGTTCCTGCTGCTGCAGCCTCTGCTGGGATGCAGAGCTCACAGCTGTACATCAGGGCAGCCTGTCGGGCTACCAGAGCTTTAGGCCTGAGCTCCTGTCCTTCACAGAAGATGAATTTTGCTGTGTGCCAGTAAATGTATATCGTGAAAAAGAACAGGAAGAAAAACACCAAACTGGCTTTGCCTAATCTGAGACACCTTTCAGAGCAGAGAAGTAGCTCTCAGAGCAACTGCTCAACGTAGTTCTCCAAGATGAGTTCTATACCCAGTATTCCAGATAAGCCACTCGGTGGTATCTGCCATGTGGGACCTGTTAGTACCTGTCAACTTCAGTAGGAACTCCTATTTCACTGCCAGATACAGCTTGCAGGTCTCTACAGGATTTGACTCTTACAGTCTTACAGATGTACTGCACTTCTCCCTGTCTGGTGGGCTTACAGAGAAAGACAAGGTTGATGTGAACTTGCAGTTTGTGTGCCATACTGGTCTGATTGATAAACCCTGTAGTGGAAGTGGTGGCCTCCTCATGAAGGATTTATAGCAAGGTAATTCACAGAGACAGCTGGTTTTAAAAAATGCAGGTTGTTCATGCCTTTTCCTTTGCTGTATAAATATTTAAGTGACAGAGTAATTTCCTAAAGGAGGAAATGCTTAGGTTATTGCTGACAGGTGAAGCTTTTATTAAACAGAAACATGCAAGCTCATTTCCCATATTGTTTTGAAACCATTATTGTGTATTCTTTTTTCAGATATTTTTGCTGCTGCTTTAGCTGTCTTGTACCATGACTGGTCATGACCACAGATGCTGCTGCATACTCAGTTCTCCAACTGATTCATCAAGCTGGCAGTGTCATGGTGGAGCTGTTTGATACCTGCAGTGTCCCACTCCAAGGGTGTCAAGAACACCTCGTGTTTGGCTTGGAAAATCCGTCCTTGCTGCAGTCCTGTGAGAGGGCTGTGAAGTCCCAGGGACTCCTAGGGCAGTTCTTCAGTTGAAAAATATTTTTTATTGGGTTCCTGTATCGTCTGAGGTGAACAGCTAAAACTGGCACCAGAATACAGGTATGGTGGGAACACTGGAGGTGGAAGCTGTTGGTGGGGAGTGGTGGGGCTGCTCACAATAGAGTATCTGTTTTCATCAGCATTGTTGGGTTCATGTCTCTGCATTAAAGGCTTTGTTGGGAGGTTCAGACATCCTTCTACCTCTACTCTGATACGTATGTTTTTTACTCTTTCAGATGTCTACTTGAAGGGTGTGGCTCTTCATTTTTGGCAAATAGCAGTGAAACGGTGTTCCAGTGGGTGGAATTTGGACCATGAATCAAGGCATACAATTTTTAAGCAAAGAAAATACAAACATAAAAGGTGTTAAAAAACCTTGGGTGGTGCTGTCTCACCACTTCATTCCTCAGCAGAAGAGCTGTACTTTAGTTGCTGTGCCCAATGTCAGCAGGGCCCACCTGGCCACCTCTTGCCCTCTGCACTGGGGGGTTGCTGGCTGAATCACCTGTTCCTGAGGTTGTTGTGCTCACTGCAAGACACAGCAACTGAAAGTCTCTGGCCTGGCTTACAGGACATGTGACAAAGTGACTGTAGCAACTCTTTCTGCCCCTGAAGTCTCTGAATTCCTCCTGGTAGAGATGACACTGTACTTGCATAGCGCAGTGTTGCTAAATCCATCTTCTTTGGAGGGTCACAAAACAAACAGATACCAAAGAAAATACGGTTCTAATTACTGTCATAATGACACACTCAGCTTCTGGTTTCATGATTTCTGCAGAGTCTGTTTTGGGTAGCCTTTTTTTAAGCTATTTGTGGAAGAACAGATGAGCTTTTGGCAGATGGTTCTGTGTCAGATCTATGCCAGGCTCTGTTAATTTGTTGAGAGGCCATTGTGTTCCTGACTATCCCCTAAAATGGAAGTGTGAACCAATGATTTTTGTAATGAACGTGCAATAAATCTGTGGAAAAGCATCTCTGTTAATGACTTTTGATTGAATTCAGGTAGTTTTGACATACTTGAGTGAGGCTGTTAGAGCTAGACAAGCTTGCTTGACAGGCAGTGCCTGTCTGCTTGTCTGGTGTCTGGAAATGAAGCCTGAACTCATCCTGAGTAGTTCCAGCACTCACTGGACACCCAGGTCTTCAGTGGCACAGCATCAGGAGTGAGGAGTCTTCAGATTTGTTAGTGTGGAGGATACCTGCAGCATGGCCAAAAAGAACAAGCTGAAAATGGTGGTTTAGATTTCTCTGTAGGGGCAATCAAACACTGCAAAGGCCCTTGGTTTTTTGTTTTTGTCCCTGGATGAATGAATGAGAAGAATGGACATGCTGTAAAAATGTCTTTTAATATTTGAGACTGTAGTGTGTGGGTGGGTATTACAAAAAGCCTCACTGGGTTTGGAAGGCATGAGCAGCTCACACAGGGGAGGCGCATTCGATTATCTCGTGTCACAGACTTCATGTAGCAACAAGAATACTTGATTGTGAGATCAGCTTCATGGTTGAAGTGTTTTCAGCTCTGTCTAGCAGTTGTGCAGTGATTATGCCTTTTGCTATTCTTGTTTTTCTTTGAATTTCTAGGTCTTCAGCAGACATGAGAGTGGAATTAATGATTGCGAGTTCCTTAGGCATCAAATGGGTACTGGGGGAACCAGTGATCAGCTGCCACTGCTGCTCAGTCACAGTGTCACCTCCGAGGAGGGTAGCATCTATTTACCATTTTTAACTGGAGGATTCTGGGATGCTTATGGATTTTTTGGGTTTGCTGTTGAGATCCTGCCTAAGAGGACAGACAGCTGGTTTGGGGTCAGGGTTGCTTTGCTCTCAGGAGAGCTGGTTTATAGGGAGTGTGCAGTTAATGCTGAAGGAGGGTGTTGCTCAGTGCAGGTTGCATGTAGATGTGGCAGCTGCAGAACACAGGTTATGGGAGGGCAGTCCACGGAGGTATTGCAATTCCAGTATGTATCCGTAGGATACCAGGTGTTTCCAAAGCAAAGCAGGGGTGGACGTAATGCTGGAAGCACGAGTTGAATGTGTAAAGGTGCTGGGCAATAGCTGCATTGAAAAATGACAATCTGCAGTTCTCATAGTCCAGCAGGATTCCAAGCCTTCTAGGGGGAACAGTAATTCTGATGTCTGGTGTCATCCCACTGTGCAGGAATTCGTACTTGTGCCTGTAGGCAAGAAACAGACAAAAATTCTGAGGGCACCCTGGCTGCTCCCAAAGGGAAACACAGAGGTGTGTTCAGGGTGTGATTCCTGCTCCTGGGGCCCATCTTATGTGTGCCTGGTGGTTACTGCCCCGTCCATGTCCTTTGCTGTGCAGTGGCTGTTGGCCAAGGGCTGCTGTGCCTGGCCTGGCTGCCAGCCCTGACAAGCCTCTTGGTTGCATCCAAAGCAAAGCAGGGGTGGACGTAATGCTGGAAGCACGAGTTGAATGTGTAAAGGTGCTGGGCAATAGCTGCATTGAAAAATGACAATCTGCAGTTCTCATAGTCCAGCAGGATTCCAAGCCTTCTAGGGGGAACAGTAATTCTGATGTCTGGTGTCATCCCACTGTGCAGGAATTCGTACTTGTGCCTGTAGGCAAGAAACAGACAAAAATTCTGAGGGCACCCTGGCTGCTCCCAAAGGGAAACACAGAGGTGTGTTCAGGGTGTGATTCCTGCTCCTGGGGCCCATCTTATGTGTGCCTGGTGGTTACTGCCCCGTCCATGTCCTTTGCTGTGCAGTGGCTGTTGGCCAAGGGCTGCTGTGCCTGGCCTGGCTGACACCCCTGACAAGCCTCTTGGTTGCACCCCAGGCTGGCTGTGAGCAGGTGGCAGGGAGCCCTTGGGCACTGGCAGTTTTGTCTCAGAGGGCAATGTGGGTGTTTTGTAAATTGGAGGGTGCATGCTTCTCCCTGGCTTGCGCCTGAAGTTGTCCCTTCTCTGTGAAGGAGCTGTGCTCTGTCAGGCCAGAACAACACTTGTCATCCCCTCAGCTTTGCCCCTAGATAGCTGTCAGTGCTGCCAAAGAGGGAGTTGGGAAGATGACTCAGTCCTGTCCTTCCAGGCCCTGTCACACTGCCCACCTGGTCCCTGAGGGCCTGGGTACTGAGCTTCCTTTCCTGCCAAAATTAAGGAGCTGCTCACACCCACCTTCACAGCAGCACTGAGGGAGTGAAATCCCTTAGGCAGAGGCTGCCTGACTCACAGTGTGGCATCCTCCAGACTATTTGACATCAGTTTTCAAACCACTCTCTCTAAATTATGTTTCTGGCTGCTTTTCCTACAAGAACCTTCTGCTCAGCCATGGCTGTGTTGATGAGGAAGTTCCAGTCTTCATGCTTATTTACTAAAGGGTGATGCCTTTTAGTTATTATTCCTGGACTGTGGATTGTTGGAGGCCAGGAAGGTGCTCTGTACGGAAGCAGCTTTGTCATGAGGGTAGCCTTCCTCTCCCCTGTGCAGTCACTGTTCCAGCAATGCTGAGGTACTCAAACAGCTCTCCCTAGTGTGGCATGCTGCAGCCAAAAATATGAGACTTCTATGGGAATATGTGCTTCTCTCAACAGAAATGGGAAGATTTATTCAGCTGAAGTGAGTTGCCTGGTATGTCATAAGGGTCAGCTTCTTCACTAACCACCTCCTCCACCCACATCACTCAAACCTGAGAAAATTTCCCTGTAGAAATGGGTATGACAGTGACTTAAACTGAGCAATGGCCCAGATCCCTTATTCTCTCTGAAGTCCATACTTTAGTGGGTTTGATCTCCCTCATTAAGCAGTGTTTCTTGCAGTGTGGGAGGTGAACACCAGCATTACTAAGGACTTTGGCCAATGCAGGCCAGCTGCTGGGGATCTGGGAGCAGCAGGTGCCTGGGGAGGAGCCTGGGCCCCAGCTCACTGCATCTAAAACCTCTCCCTGCATGCCTGCTGGGCCCATGCTGTGCCATCCTTACAATTTTCTCACTGTGCCATCAAGTGGTCTCCAGGCTCCCTGGACAAGGAGACCCAGCAGCACCCTGGCAACTTGTGCAGGCTTATTGAGGAGCCATTCAGACAGGCACCAGGAGCACTCAGGGATGCGACTTGTTTTCTTTCCCCTGGATGCTTTCCAGGGTGCCTAAATCTCACATGGGCATCAGAGGCAATGATGCTGCTATAACAGCGTCTGAGGGAGAGCCAGCAGGTTTAGCTGAGGCATAAGGAGAGTTGGCATTTCTGCATGTAGGTTTGGCTGTGGGTACTTCCACAGGTAGGAGGGAGATTAGAAGCAGTTGCACACAGCTGGGTTTAGCCAGATGTGCAGCTTCTAGGTTACATTTATCTATTACTCTGTCTTTCCACTGAGGTTTCTGTGACCTAAAACAAGGCCTTTACAGCTAACTTCTGTAATGCAGATTTAATTAAGATTTGTTTTCAGGACTGCCTGTTTCAATGTGAGAATGTCATTAACAGAAGGATTTGGTTAAAGGTTCCAGTATCCTTCCAACACCAGTTCACTGTGCCAGTGGTGGAATGTCAGAGGCCCCTGATAAAGTGCTTGATACAAAAAGGGCTTTGATACAAAATCTGCCCCCTCTAGGTAGGAACTCTGCTGCTCTGCCTGCAGGCATACGTGTAGGTGTTCCTTTAGGAGACCTGTAGCCTCCACAGCCCTTACCTCGATGGTGTGATGATATGCCTCATGCACCAGGAGGAGTTGTTTGCCCCCAGGTAACCGTGTCTCGGAGTATTTTCAAAAGCCACGCCAATCCTGTACTCTGTTTCTTCCTCAGTTTCCACCTCCCAGTAATGCTTTCCTGGAAAAGGGATCAGACTGCCCAGGATCCCAATACACCTATGGCAGACAGACAGGAAAATGTGCTTTGTCAGGAACTCTGCATTGTTATTCACAATGTTTTAAGTTTGTAATGTACCTGGATATTACCTAAAACCTACAGGTTTCTTTGTGACAGCTATCCTGTTTTTACCTGTGGGTGCTTTTGTATAAATTAGTGCCCTGGGCACTTTCAGGAATAGGGAGAACAGCATCCTGTGGTGCCTGGGTTTTCTGGGAAAGTTATTACTTGCTAGAAAAGAGAGTGGTCTGGTGAATACCAGCATAGTGGGGGGAAAGGCTACAGATGCTGTGGTTAGGAAACACTTTAGCCTTCAGAGACCACACAAACTGTAGAAAGGAGAGTTTGTGATGTCATTTCCTTGTAGTACCAGTGTTGGTCATTGCAGCTTGGTGGCTTCTTTTGCATTTTTACTTTTTTTCACAGTATCTTGACATGAAAGAGGCTTCTGAGAGTTCCCAGTGGCATCAAAAACTCAGCCTCAGAGTTCAGAATGAAAAGAGTGCCAGCTCTGGCTGTTTATGTGAAAAATAAAAGTACCATGTGGAAGTGGGATGAAATCCCATTTAGGCTTATCATGATGACTTTAATGAAGAAAACCTTCTGTCTCCTATCTCTTCCATAGTGAGCCCTCCAATAACGTTGCATTTCCATGAAGGGACTAAGTTGTGGGCTTGTATTATTCTGTGTCTGCAGATGCCTGTCCTGGTAATATGTTGTTTCTGTGGTTCTGCCTGGAAACATGCATTTTGACAAGCTAAGTCTGGCATTTAGGCAAAGGGCCTAATTCTGTCTTGAAAGTAAGATCTATAGGCCCAAATAATATCAGCTAGATCTTTCAACTAGTGAGAAGTATTCAGATCTCTTTCCTTTCCTTAGCATTTGCTTTTGCACTTAAATACATGTTCAAATTCAGCTCAAGGTGCCTAAGATGCATAAGCAGGTTTTTGTGGGTGGCTGCATCTATAGTCTTTTTTAGAAACTTGTATTGACTTCCAAGTGATGCTTAAGTTCCAAAGAGCAGCTAGAAAGAGAGATTTAAACTCACAAAATCAATGAGGGCTACTGAAAGCCCCATAGACCCTTCCTGCCATCTCTTAAAAAAAAACAACAACAAAAAAACCCACAACCAAACAACCAACCACCAAACAAACCAACTGTGCTTTGAACTACTCAAGCCTTTTTCAAATAGGAGGGTCAGGTGCTCAAAGCACCAATAGGTTTATTTCTCTATTCTGTAGTATTTGTTGTAATGAACAAGTTTTACATTAGGTGTTTGGTGGTTTCCATTGGACAGAGCTATACAGATCCACACCTGTGAAACCAAGGCCATAGAAGAATGGGGAGAGCCTCCTGCATGTTATGCTCCAGGTTCTATCACCTCAGCAGCTTGCAGAGGAAGGGGCAGGAGACAGGGAGCAACAGCCAGCAGAGAGGAGCAGCTCATCAAGTCATGGAAATGTGCAAGTGCTGCATCACGGTAATCAAAAGACAACCTAATAATTATGGGTTTTTTTTCCTTCTTACATCCTACTAGTGCTGTATTAAAAGTATATGGGGTTTGATTTTATTTCTTTCTTGTGACATATTTCTAAAGTTTTTGGGTACTTTAGAGAATTAAATGGGAAGTAAGTTTTGGAATTCAATGGAAGTCGGTGCACACATCATGCAAAGAGAGATGTTGTAGATAGTATGTATAAGTCACCCTAGAAATTCTCAGAAAAGAGCAGGAAGGCACAGGGAGTTCAGTAGTGGTGCTCAGGAATGGTAACCCCAGTGAAATTATGGGGCCTGGATACATGGAGGAGCTATGGGGAAAGCCACTTCAAACTGAATAGTTGTCTTAGGAGCCCAGCTTAACATACCCCAGAATAAATGTGATTTTCTAAAAGAGGAGTCATCCATGTTTTAAAAAGACTGACAAAGATGCTTGCTCTTGTCTAAAGCTGCAGACAACCATGGTCACTTCTGCAAAAACCACTATACCTGATGCACAGACATACAGTCTGGAGTGCCTGGATGGAAGGTGAGGAGAGCTGTAATATCAGTAAACCTTTTTAGTGAATTTAAAGTTAAGGTAGGAGTGTGTTGTGGGCGAAGCAGCCACAAACCACATGCACTAGTTGCAACTGAAATTCTTCTATATACCTTGTAAAGCTGTTATCATAGACAGGCAGATCACAATCCAGGTTTTCCAGTTCATCGCATGCAATTGTAAATCCATCATCCAGAATAGCCAGTAAAGGATGGGCTGTGTCCTCATTAAGGCAGAAGTAGGTGCCTGCAAGAGAGGGGAATGTCTGAGATTGACTCTAGCAAGTCCTTATGGTAATAGGGTTTGAAACAGGTATGGTGAAGTGTTTGGATCCACAAAAATATGCTCTGGAAGGAATCTGTGGCTAACATTGAGAGGACAAGGTTGTCCATTTGGAGTTTTTAGAATAAACTTGTGATTTTCAGCTTAACACTGTTCAGTTACAGCCATGTGAAAACCAGAAAAGGGGCTTAACCTGGTTTTGAACCCAGCCTCAGGCATTGTACAGGAAGTAGCTATTCAAAGATGAGGGGTCCTCCCTGCAACAGACCATCCGGTTTCAAGCCCTCTTCCTTAGAGCTGGAGTGATCTATTTTTTATCACTGAAAACAGAAGGGGAGCTTAAAGACCTCACTCTTCTACATAAATACTGGGTGCAGTGTGAAGAGAAGGAACCTCTACAAAGGTTCCACATCCAGCATTCCCCCTGCTTCAGCCGCTGCTCATCGGATCAGCTCTCAGAGAGCTAAGTCAGCTCAGCCAGTCCAGCTCCTGCCTCTCTCCCTTCGGAGGCTTCACAAAGCAGGTCTGAGCACAGTGCTGTGATGAGCAGCCAGCAGCCTCACAGCTGCTGCTTGTAGTGGGCATTTGTGTATCCACCCCAGGAAGTGGGAATCAAAGGTCATTCCCAGTGTTGGAGGTGAGTGCCTGCAGCTGACAGATCAGTTTGCATCAGCTGTTTGCATAATGTAGGCTCAGAGAAGATAAATCACTCAGTGCTAATCCCAAATGAAATCATTCTAATCAAACTGCAAGTTACTTCACTGCAAATACAACACAAACAATGACAGGGCAATTACAGGCATGTGCTGCTGAAAACAAACACATGCTGTGCAAGCAGAATCTGCAATTTCAAATATTGAGTTTGATTTAAGTAGCTGAAATACACACAAACAGAATGACAGTCTTCCTCTCCAGGGATTTAAGAACGACCATTTCTTTTCTGTGGTGTCACTGATGTGTAGCAGACAGGTTTCTTACTGAAACCTCCTGCAGATTAATGGGTGTGTGGTCAACTTGCTGAATAAGCACAATTTGCCAATCTTTCACAGAAGGTAAGAGCAGAAGAGACAGGTTTGAATGCATCTGAGAGTGATGAGTGAGGTTTGGGACACCCCAGTGAAGCTGCAGCCTCATTACAGCAGTGGTGAAGGTAAAAACAGGTCTACCTGTAAGTCACTAAAATAGGCTTTGATTAGATGGCTGGGGGGGAGAGGACTTCCAGCTTCCCTTTGGGGGAGAAGGTTAGTTCTTGTCCAGCGAGGCACTGAGAACAGAAATGGTAATACTGTGTCAGTTACCAAAAGCAAAGCTTCCAGCTGAAAGCTGGACT